TGCGCTGCCAACGACGTGTGCCCCCGGGCGTAATAAGCCTAATGGCACCCGATGAGCCGTCCGACAGCTCCAACTATCCTGAAGGCAACTTCGGAGGGTACCTACTGTGGATGGTTCGCTCAACCTTTCGCCCTTGCTTCAAACCCGTCTTAACCGACTAGCAAACCCGCTCTCTGTGCTGTCCCACAGGCACTCTCGGGTCTTTGCTGTGCCATTCCACAGACATCCCCCTTCCCTGAGGGGCCCTAATGCTATCGGCTGGCGCCTGGCCCATATCGCCCACCTGCTGGTGGGTGCAGCTCCTGCATGTTCCCTCGTCGAGGGCTTGGGCACAGATGTGGCTGCTACGGGGTTCCCCATAATACCATAGGGAGGTAACTTCGACGCAGCCACGAAAACGGCCTGTAATCACACTTCAGACAATCTCGCGAATACAGCACACCCCCACTCGCCCTCACCGGACCCAAAGCGTAGGTCATATACATTCAGCATTACCGACACCTTTTGCCTTAAGTGTAATTACAAACTCAAGCCTTGACCACGTCGTATGACAAGAAAATAATAGAAATACGGCACTAAAAAGAAATACTTAGAAAGTGCCGCCACCGATCGGACGCCGCCGACGGCAAAACCAAGGGGGATGGCCCCACCGGGCCCTCGACCCCCTCGGTCCCTTCGCGCTACTCTGATATTCTCACGTCGTCGCTGCTCGACCTCGATCCCCGAATCTTTCCGATGAAAGTCCGATGCTATAAAGAAAAATGCTAGGCCCAAGTCTGGGTCTAGCTCTGACGGATACTTAAATAAATCGATTCTGCGCGACGTGCAGACCTGCCGAAACGTTCTGAAAATTCACACTGTTGTCGATGCCGTCCTCCGTACGTACGCACGAGTCACCGGTAAACGCATCAATCAAACGACAAAAATCTGTTTAATCCTAGCTTAATCAAAAAAATAAAATCCGGCCGGCGATCACGCCGATCCTTCAATCATCAACGAATAAAATCACACACGCCTCAAGCCTACGCGCCCACACACTCTCTGCTCTAGTCAACCGTTCAGTCAACGTTAACCACAACCATTGCCGCAACTTGCGTGGTATACTTAAACTTTTAAACCAAACTTATTTTCTGCCACTTGCAAAAACCAGGGCGGATACCCTTGTAAGGGTATTGGCACCGACAACGTACCTCGTAATGCTGCCCCCAACCACATAACCTGGCATGCATTTATGATGACTAGTCGATGCCTTGGCACAACCCACAATGTAATGCTGTTCTACCTCGACTTAAATTGCCACGTCAGCAAGCTCTCATCATCCAGCGTGCACCCCCTATGTCACCACACAACCTTCCCTGGCGCGCCCACACAACACCGGGCCGCCATTCACCCAACGCACAAGCGTTATCACTGCCCCACCATATCCAACGAAGCACCAAACAGCTATTGCGAAGGAGCCAGCGGAGCGGCTCGAACCAGCTCCGATACGGAATTGCATGGAAAATGAGCAATAGCGAAATCACAGAAATCCCAGAGTGCAAAAATCACATTGAAAGCCAGCAAGTCCAGACGCTGTCCAAAAAGCAGTAATGCACTGATATTCCCCCGAGAAACAAAGCACTGAATCCGATTGTCAATGAGAGCATACTCTCGCCACCACCAACATATGTATCCAGAGTCCTTCCTCCTACTTGGCGCTCAGCGCCCAGATTACGATCACACAGCTTACTAGCAGCCGACGAATCGACAATGCATCATGTTGACGTCAGTGGCAGAACCGAAGTACATGAAGATGTCGACCCTTGTAGACCATCGCCAAGACGAGGTACGTGCGCTCACATCATCATCTTCATCTCTCTCTCTCTCTCTCTCTCTCTCTCTCTCTCTTCCTCTCTACCCACGTCTTCAGTCTTATGCATGAAGACCACCACCACCTCCACTGGCTATGTCTAAGCCCCAGCCTGGCTATGAAGGCTGGGCTATGGCGCTGCCCTCAGCAGCGTCCTGTAACCTCTTGACGCCTGTGCGCGCCTGCAACTAGCGGTAGCGCAGCAAGCAGCCCGGGAGACAAAGCTCCAGCAGTGCTGCCGCTCACAAGTGCAAGTGCCGAATATCCTCCCCGGCGCCCTGCCCTTTGAGACCGAGTTTCCAGTAGCTTCAGTCTCAGCCAAAGTGTCTGCGCCCAGGCCCGTTCCGACAGTGGCCTGGGACCGAATTGGTTAGGCATCCCCAACCACCCAGGCACGAACGTGCCGTGCTCCCTGCTCACACCACGTGCTACAAGAGCCTGGAAGGCTCACAAATATTTTGGATTCTCACGAGCAAGGCGGATGTAACCAACTGGCACGTGGCAACTGTCTGGCACCGACCAAGATTTGCAAAAATTGACGAGTTCAGGGCGCATTGACGTTCAGGGGGCCCGCCTTCACTTAGGGTGGGCACGCGCCTGCTGCAGGGCCCTATGCCGAGGCAATAACCTTCACACTGGTAATTTATTACTTTTTTGAAGTTTTTTTCTAGGCTGGGCCATCGTCCGGCTAGGCATGCCCGGGCCAGTTGGGCTGGGGGGGATCGCCCGGCAAAACCAGGCGGGTCAAAAAAGAGGGAAGGATCACTGAAAAAAAGAAACTGACTTCTGGCCAGGACTGCGCTCGGCCTGGGCAGTCAGAATCCGGCCTTACCTTCCATTTCGGTGGTGGGTCACCGAGGAGTGTTTGGGGGGTATAAAGTTACTCTAAACAGTGACTAGAGGGGTTTAAAAGGGTATATTACTATATCTTACCTCATTTCTCCTCGTTTACTTTTATCTGAAAATTAATAAGGAATTTAGAGGGGACCCTCCCCCAAAAGTTGCTTGTGCTGCAGTTTTATACAACGTATGTTTTTTCCTGAGTACGGAACCGGGCCGCCCGGCCGACCAGCGCCTGCCCGGGGGAGGTCCCGGGCGGCCTGGCCGGGCGGGCGGCCCGGTTGGGGGCCGGGCACCCCCAAACACACCTTGTCGAGGGGGGGGTTCAGACCCCGAATCGCCATGTTCTGGCGTCCCCAGGGCCTACCGGGTCCGACCAGGCCCAAAAAATGGCACGTCGGGCCCGTGAGGCCAGCTTTTTTTTGTGAAATTGTGATGGCCCTCCGGCCGTCGATCATCCATGATCGACGGCCAGAGGGCCGTTTGATTTTTGGAGGGAAAACGAGGACCTGTTTGAACAGCCGACTGGCTGGGGCGGCCTGCATCGGCTGTCCAAACGGGGCCTTGGTTTTCCCCAGCTGCCGAAGTTCGTGGTTCAGCTGCCCGTCGTCGTGGAGCCGCCCGTTGTCGCCTGGGAGCTACACTCCCCCGTCGTCGTGGAGCCGCCCGTCGCCTGTCGCCAGCGTCGTGGAGTCGCCCGTCGCCCGTCGCCCGTCGCCCGTCGCCTGTCGCCCGTCGCCAGCGTCGTGGAGTCGCCCGTCGCTCGTCCCCCTCTCATCATCATGTTCTTCTTCTTCTTCTTCTCTCCTCCTCCTCTTCCGACTATCTTCTTTTTCCTTTTTTTTATTTTGTTCCATTCGTCAGCGATAGGTCGCGAGATAAACGACAGGTAAGGGAAAAAAAAAAAACTGCTCCCTTCTTCTTCTTCTTCTTCTCTCCTCCCCCGCCTCCCCCTCAACTTCTTCTCCTTCCTCTTCTCTCCTCCTCCTCTTCCGCCCATCTTCTTCTTCTTCTTCTTCTTCTTCTTCTTCTTCTTCTTCTTCTCTCCTCCTC